GGTAAATCCTGAAAAGGAATAGCAGTTTGTTAGGTGTGGAGGGCATTTTGATAAAACCGTCCCGAGCAATGGCAGACAAGAAGCCTGTGCAGCTGAAAAATGCTACTGCTGTCTGCTCAAAGCTGGGTTTAAATATTGACCAGCTGCATGGAAAATAGCATCTGATTTGCCAACAGCATGAAAAATAGCCACTGAGAAACCAGCACATTTCTCTGCATCCTAATGCTTCCAATTCCCAGAGATACCAAAGCAAATATCTAACATTTGACACTTCATGGAAGAAAAAACATAGCTGTTTATATCAGGAGTTGAAGTCTTCCTCACTAGGGAAATACAGACTGCTCAGAATAAAGGATGCTTGAGCCTGGTTGATATTTTCTACGAGACGGCAGTACTCTTTCCAAAAGTGATCTTGAGATACTCGCTTTTGGTTTTGTCAGTCTTCTGGAGCGAAACTTCCAGCTAGAAGTCACGTCCCAGAACGCTCCCAAGTACTTCAGAGCCGCTGCAAGCACAACTGGACAAGGCTTGGGCAGAGACAAGTGTTTCATTTTTTTCTTCTGTGCCTGCTGCAGTGGAAAAACCAACTTTTATCCAGCCTGAAAGATGGTCAGGGATGTCACCAGTCAGGATTCGGAGCCTCTTTTGTGAAACGCACGGCTGTGTCACAGCCATCACATGGGACTTGATAAACTTTTCATGCCACAATTAATGAATTTCAACAGACGAGTTTCCTCACTGGCGTGCTTCCCGCCTCCCCGGGGCACTTCATCTGTCATGGACAAACGGGATGGGGATTTGTGGAAGTATTAATAGGGTGGCTTCTCTCAGAGCCATCAAACTGTCTGCGCGCGTGTGTGTCAGGTTGGGAATTTTTGGCAGTCTCCTGGGAAGTGCATGGAACTCCCCAGGGGGGAGCTCCTTCTCCAGGTATACAGGCAATTACTTCTTTTGATGGTTTTATGGAACTAATGATTTAATTGGGGCAGGCATTGCTTTTACCATGCATAGAGAGAGCTCAAGAAATGGAAATATGCTAATTACAAGGAGGATGATGTAAAATGGGGGGTAATAAAATATGCTAGTTACCCTATAAATACTAAAACAAGAAAAACACTTATGTGTGAGATTATTAATTAATTAATTCTAAATTAAATCAAAGCAGCACAACAGCAAAGGAGAGAAAAATGAGGCATTTAGTTCTCACCTTATGTATATTATATGATATTCCCTCCCAGATTTTATAAATAAATAAAGCATATTAAAAAAAAATAGACCAACTATGCTTCTGATACATGATGATGGAACGTGAAGATGAAATTGTAATCAAGAGAGTTCAAATCAAACTAAATTATTTCTTTATTTACTATTTTCCTTCGAGCGCTACTAACATTATGAAAGTTTTCAGCTTGAAACACTGGTAGAAATGAAACATTCACGGTATCTTTTTCAGAGGCTGGAAACCTTATGCTTGGAATGATTTTTGCTCTGGAATGTCTGTAATATATCGAAGCCTTAATATCTTGCTAATTGGTACCTTACTAATTAGCCCGTGACAAGAATTTTAATTAGATGCACAGTAGGTGTTCTCCTTACCTGCAGTGGAGGAGCTAGTTCCTGGAGAGAAAAGCAAAGGGAAAAAGATAGTGGAAGGGATCAATAGAAGACAAATAGAATCTAATCCCTACTATGGGAAGAGTGTACATTAATTAATATTTTTCAAAATTACATCTCTGATAATTTATACTGTTTTTTAAGGTACATTAAAGTTCACTTTGTGATTTGCTCTTTTCCCCTATAGAACAAATAGTCCTTCTTTTTCTGTGGCTTGACGTGTGTTATAAGCGAAGTGAGAAATAGTGGAACATGACTGTAGTGAGTTATGCTCACGGCCAACCCCCAGGGACGGAGCTGGGCACATCCCAGGCTCAAAGCCTGGGTCTCTGTAATCTGATTTAAAGAGCTGAGCTGTGTAGCTGTGAGCTGGATCAAGGTGAGCAAGGCTGAGAAGGGAGATGCCCAACACCCATTGCCCAACACCCATGACCAATGGCATTAGTTGAGCCTGGGCTGTAGCACATTCTACAGCTAAAATGCATTTGAAAAGCTTGGAGGACACCATTGAGTGAATTCCTATCAATGGCGATTCAAAAATAACAACATTGAGGAGCATCATCTATCATTTTTCTTCTATTGGGAAAAGATGCGAAGGAGGGATAGAAGATACCTATCTGAAAATACTGCCACTGCTAATGTTCTCATTAGCTTAATCGCATATATCCCGTTGCAGAGGATTTTAGGATTGTCATTTGGGATGAAGGCTATTTTTAAATCTGCAAAATATCTAGTGCAGTGAGAGTCTTAAAAATATAAATACAAAGTTTCTTCCCTCTCCAAGGAAGCCTGAGTTGTGTGTGTATAAAGTTGTTTGTCAGGCCTGGTAATCCCCATAAGCCCCAGCAGTGAAGAGGGTGATTCAGTTTCTGTAGATAATGGGACATCCTGAAAAATGACGATCAGGTCCACGGAACATTTTATATAAGGAGATATAAACATCAATAAAAGCAAGGGGAGAATGAATTGCACAAAAGGGAAAACCGGTTAATGATTTTTGCCCCACTGAAAGGACACTTTAGGAATGGGCTCTCTGAAGGAAGTGGAGAACTTGCTGTACAATTTGCATTGTTTGAAAAATACCTTTTTTTTACTTAATTTTGACTGGGAAAATTCTTCCACATGGTGAATAAGGTCACAGGAGAGCCACATTCCAGTGGATGTGCTGTGCTGTAGATATTTAAAAGCAATAGCTAAGGAATATTTTTATCCAAGAGACAGTATGAGGGAACGGAGGATAAAGTTGCACCCCTTTTGTTTTCGATAAAGTTTGCTGCAATCTCTGAGAGATTATTTCATGAAATATCGGAGAACATTGGTGGAATGAAAACAGCAAATTAATAAATGGAGAAAAATCTGTAAGATTTAAGTGTAAATTGTATCACAAAACTGATGATGATGTAATCCTCATGCCAAAATCCAAATAACCCAATCTCAGTCAATTAATGTGAACAGCATATAGTCTGAAAACCAGCTGCATGTTGCTTGTAAAATAATTCTGAACACAGGAGAAGTCAGAGAAAATTATGATGGCCTGTGACCCACTCTACAAATTATAAAAGTTAATCTAAAATTTTATTTGCTCTGAAGTATTCACTCAACTGCCCTGCCTGGTAAAAGATGCTGTCTTTTCAAAGGGCTTTATTAACCCACCTGTCCTACGGGATCTGGTCATTTACCATGCCAAATTTGTCTCCTACTATGAGGTGGACTGGAAACAGAATGGAGTGGGGAACTCAAGCTGGGGTTAGTGGGATTGCATTGGTTTTCGTCTTTTATGGGCAGAGATTTGAGGCTGATCTGGGTACAAAAGATGCTACTGCTTGCTTTTTAATTAGGATCTGGCATATCTTGAGGTATATCTCTTTTTGCAGGTAGGTGTGAGTCTTCCCTGACACCTCTAAGCCAGCAAGACACCAGCTACCTCCAGATCAGAGGCTGTGTGGCCACGTCTGTAAAGCACTATACTGAAAGCTGTTATCTCTGCAGAAAGGCAGCATATATATTAGCTCAGACCTAATGCCGTGCTACGCACATCTGTATCACTCCCGGCCAAATTAGAGCAGAAGGGTGAACTTGAATATCCCTGCAAAGAGGCTGCAGCCAAACCCTTTGTCCACTTCCTAGCGGGACTGCTGCTCACATCACAAGATGTCCACCGTAGATAGCACTTTAGCAGAGCCTTTATCAGCACTCTGAGAATTGAATAGGCTATTTGGAAAAGGCCTATTTGTAAATGTACCACCACTTCATTTGAACAGTGCATTTTGGAAGGAAAAAAAAAAAAACCACACAGCAAAACACCTCTTCTGTGATTGCCTTTCTTCCGCTGAGACATAAAAGGAAACTGGTTTTCTATCCTGAGGCCTTTGGTGATGGTAGACTTCAGTATCCAGTACTTTTATCTTTCCTGTTATATACATATGTGGGTTTGCTATGGGATACAATGGAATATTTTGGATTGCAGGCCTCTACAGAGTATCTCCTTTATATCCCATGTGGTCTGATGTTATTTTACACAGTCTAGTTGAGATAAGGATGCAGATTAAAATGCAGGTCAGAAGCCCTAACCAGGCCTGGCAGGGAGGAATGGATATTGGTTTGCTAGAGTAATTACCCATAGAAAGTGGTGATGCTGACACTGGTTTCATTTTTTGAGTGCTGCTGAAGATGTTTATCTTTACTCTGAAGGCTTTGGTCTTTATGGTTTGACTGCTGGCTGCGAAGGAAGCTGTCTCTTTTCTCTATGCTATATCCAGCAATAGCGCTCTTCAAAATATTCTGAAGTTTTTTATATCTGAAAACTGAAGGAAAATATATTCTTACTTCTGAGCCTTTTACTGGAACTCATTTAATCACAGACATACTGTCTTGAATTTGAATGAATATTTGGAGGGTATTTGCTTGAGTAAATAGAGGGTATTATGTTGTGGAGTAGAGATTTAGTTGCTGTTGCGGGGTTTTTTTGTGTGTTTCCTCCACCCAGAACTGGCTAGAAAGGCATTTTCTAAACTATAAAATTATATCCGAATCTTTTATGATTTCTTCTCTCTTACATAATTTAAACTGAAGATTCCTTATTTAAGAAAACCTAAAATGAATTTCAGAGCTTGTGTTATGTAAGTCAGTTAGTTACATCAAGCAGAAAAACTGAACATTGCCTTTGGGAGAGAGAGAGAGAGGGGGGAAAACAAATGCTTGAAAGCAGAGTCTAGGGAATGGAGGACAATTTGGGGACCAGCTTCTCCGCAAACCATGCCACAGGGAGGCTGGCAAAAGGCACTAGGTACACATGGAGCACCAGTCAACCTCAAAGGTTCTCTAGGATCAGTTATGGACGCTTATGTACGTATGTTCAGTCTGGGAATATCAGTCAATATTTTCACATGATTTTGTCTTCCAGAATGATTGAAGACTGTGGGAAAAGAGGAAATACCATGGCAGAAAGAAGGCAGCTGTTTGCAGAAATGCGTAAGTACTTCCTAGAAATGTTTTGATGTGATAGACCAAGCCAGTTACACTGCAGTGTCAGTAAAATTCATGCAAGCTTTCCACCTCGAGTAACTGATATCTCCATTTCACAACTGGTTTCATGTTGTGAGACCAAAACTACAGGAAAATGGGCTGATTTGACCAAAGAGCAGGAGAGCGGGATTTTCTAGATCAGATTTTGTGATTGTATTATTTTGATCAGTAGCTTCTTGAGACAAAAATGCTGCAATACACAGGTAGCAATAAAGAGGGATAAAGGTCTCCGAAAGACTACATCTTTTACTGAGGGTATCTGTAGCAGGTTCACCCCAGCCACCTGCTAAGCACCCACACAACTGCTTGCTTAATCCCCAGCCAGCTGTCAGCAGGATGGGAGAGAATATAGGGAGAGCAAAAGCAAGAAAACTCATGGCTTAAGATCAAAGACAACTGATTAAGTGATGGAAAGAGAGAAAAAAAATGGCAACAAAAAACAACAGCAAGTGATGCAGAGGTGGTCTCTGACTGCCTCCCAAAAGCAGATGAATTCCCAGCCAGTCTCCAAGCAATGTCCATATTGGAAGACAAAACTCCCCACCCCCTTCTTTCCCTCCCCCAATTTTATGGCTGAGCCCGACATTATATGGTATGGACTATCCTTTTGGCCAGGTGGGGTCATCTGTCCTGGCTGTGTCCCCTCCCAACCTCTAGCCCATCCCCAGCCGACTCTGGGAGGGGACAGAGTAGGAAAGAAAAAGGCCTGGATGCTGTGCAAGCACTGTTCAGCGATAGCTAAAACATCAGTGTGTTATCAACACTTTTTTTAGCCACAAATCTAAACCACAGCACCATGCAGGCTGCTATAAAGTAAGTTAACTCCATCCCAGCCAGACACAGTACAGGGACTCGTATACTACATACCCCACTTCAGCACATTTTTTACAGTTTCTGGTGAAGCTTTGTGTTCCCTGCAGAATAGTGTGTCAGGGATGTTCTATACTAACGATGTTCCTGCAGTTCTCTTGACAGTCATCTCTTATTTCTCTTACAAACAATCCACCATTTCTCAAGGAAATTCTATTACGTATGAAGTTTGAGACTGCCACCCTGTTACTAGATTTACCTAAGTTCTGTCTGTAATTACTAAGCGTCCCATTATTTGTCCCCTGCAACGTAGTAAAAAAAATGACAGAACATCTCCCCCGTCTTCTGGGGGAGACTAAGATGAGCATTCCTGGGATTTGAGCATCTGTGCACACTGAAAGGCCAGGTCTGTGCTAGTGAATTAAATGAGCCCTGGACTTGTTCTCCAGGGGTGACCGAATGCCCTACATCCACGCTCCTGAGCTCTCCAAATTAAGGACTTCTCATACATATGGCCTACTGAGAATGGTCTTGGCCTGTTCCACTGTGTCCACTAGCTCTGTTGTGCCCTGTAATTATTCCAATATCACACCAGGCTTGCTGTTGTAACCCAGATAGATGTTTCTTTTGTCCCTTGTGTACAACATCTTGGACTGGTAGAGGGAGGGGATATTCTTTGGCCAGAAGCAAAAAAAAAAGAAAAAATATATAGGATGATGCATTTGTCCATTATCAGAACATACTATACTTTTAATTAGAATTATAGAGAGGATTTGAGCTTGTATCAGCTAAATTCAATAGCACAACTTCCATTTACTTCAGTTAGTTTGAAATATTCCTAAAATGGAAGATAATTGCATAAGCCTTAGCTGTGAGGATTTATGGTTTGTTCCCACAGTTTTGAAGGCTGTTTTGCTGTTGGGTTGTTTTGGAGGAGCTAAGGAGGTGTTGGCAAAATTTACAATCAGTAGTTGGAGGCAGAGGAGGGACTATTTTCCCATACTGTCCACAAATAGTTATTGTCTACTATTTTTTCTTTCACATTTTAGTGTTTTGACATATTTACTTGAGTCTGGTTTATCTCACATACGCTTCCCTTTTCTATTTGCCTGCCTCCCTTCCTCCTCCTGCTACACATGCACACAGAGAATTGGGTTCCAACTAAGTAAAAAGAGGGGAAAATATTAAGTCTTTTTGAAAAACTAAATAGGTTTTAGGCAAAGAAATGTCCATATTGTAAAACACTGAATTTTGCATTTTGAGTGTCCCTTGGATTCCTGTGTGTGAAGGGTGTGCTTCACTGACACAGAAGCTCAACCTGGCATTGCATTCAGGTGGCCTCAGCTTCATGCAAGCCCACATGATCCATGTTTAACAAACCCCATGTGCTCCACACGCCCTACCTACTGTGGACCATGCGAAGCTCCTTAACATTATAACAAACATAAGCTTCTGGTAAAAAGTTAGACTCCACAACCTGCCGATGTGAGAAGAAGAAAATTCATAGGGGACTTTGCCAGTGGCTCTTGCAGGTTCTTGCAGTCATATCTACAAGTCTGTGGTTAAACCCCCACAGTAGTGGGTCATGTTCCAGGCTACACAAGACAGCAAAAAAAAAAAGCCAACTTTTCCTGCCTTTTTAAGTAGGAAATTTGTTCTTCACAAGGAATAGATGGAATTGACTCTCACTTTAGATTTGGGCCACTATGTGATTTTGCCTGTATTTAAAGAAGTTTAGTTTGACTTTTTTGTTTCCTTTCCCTCAGAACAGGCAGCTTTTTAGATCCAAATGACAAAACTTCTGTGCGTCTTCTCATTACATCTTCTGTAGAGTCCTGTGGTTAAAGCTTAAATTGTGTCTTATATCTCAAAATGCACCATTGGACGTCAAATCACTTAGCCACCCTTAGTCTTCCCTGACATGCTCAGGTATATCCAGACTGATGAAGAGAGTTCAAAATGTACATCACGGTTGTGCTGCCAGCACATATTACCCAGCAAGAAAACAGCAGCCAAAGCTCGCAATGTATCCCTTTATTATTTTTGCAAACTGCAAGCAGCATTACATGAGATGAGCGTATTCAAAAGAAACGGAGTTGAAACACTGCCAGTGGGCAAAAGGGAGGAGAAGCCACTGGCAATCCTGTAGGCAAGTTACAAATTCAGGGTCTCATTTGTTGTGCTCAGTCCCGCACATTTTTCCACTTGTTTTTCAGGATTCTCCATGTAAATGAAGTAATTATTTCTACAGAAGTTATTTGACAAATAGATCTCTGACTGCGGCAAAATGTGAATCGTGATAAAATTAAATTGTCTGTTCCAGGGATTTATCAGCAAAAACACCTACTCCCAAAATAATATCAAAATAATACCATCCCCTGTGTGTGTAAATAGTAAAGAAAAAAAAGCAACATTACTGCCTACAAACTTGTTTATTTAGGATTAATACTGCAACCTGGGAAGCTCAATGAGCCAGAGTCTCACTTCGCTTTGAATCTTTCATCTTGTTAAAAGGCTGAAATTTTATAAAGGAGCGCTGTAAGCTTTTATTAGTAGCTTTCTCTAAAGTTAAGAGGGAAGAAGTTAAATTCATTTTCCTCACTGGTCCTATTAAAAAAGGAAAGACTTAGTGTTGCAAGCATTATCCTCCCCTTTACCAGTAAAGAAGTCTTCCAAAAGCAGTCAATGGGATACTAATGGAGAAGAGAAAAACCTCTGCAGTTTAACAATAAAGCATATGATGAAAAAGAATAAAAAAACTTCCCAGACCTGATATTAAGTAGTTAGGGGTAGCTTCTCCCAGGAACAGATGGTGTTAAGGCAGCCAAATGGCAAAAGGGAGTAGCTGGGAGCCCTGGGAAGATGGTGTGGGAGGATCTGGTCAGGAGAAGAGCCGAGTCAGGGGAGAGGGGAGAGTATCATTCTCATCTTCATCTCGCAGGTCAGAGCACATTTGAAAAACCTGGGTCCAAAGGATGGCAGATTGTTTAAGAAAGTGTGGGTGAACAATGCCGACATGGCCATATGTACGACCATGCAGCTGATAACCTCAAGGAAAATCTTAAAGAAAGCATTTGGGGAGCATGTGTAAAAGCTGAATAGGGCCGTATTCCACTTCATTTCTCTTACAGCCTGATTCTACCTTGTTTGGATGTGTTTTCACGCGGTTCCTTAAGAAACTCTGGTTTTGGTAATTTTGTACCTTGCTCAACAGAATAGAACAGGTTCTACTCCTGTTACAGGGCCAACCACAGTGAAAAAGCAAATACAGCAAATACGCAAAAATCTCATTGAATGTGTTTCTGGGAAATGTGTGGTAAAATTAATAAGCAGTCTTGCATTTTGTAGGCCATATCGTAGCTATAAGGCAACACTTCTTTATGTAAGATACCAGCCAAGAAGGAGAAGGATTTAAATCACAATCTCCTCATCTACTTTTTGAGGTTTTTTGGGAAGCGCTGTGAGTGGTACACAGCAGCAGGAGGCCTAAAGACACCGTGCCAGGTTCTGCCCCCATCCCGGTCCCTCTCCGCTGCGCTTGCATGTGGCGTAGCCCACAGTCAGTTTATACCCGTCTCCTGGGCAGCTGCTTTGGAAATGTTGCCAGGCCTTTAAGTTGGAGCAGCCAGGGCCAAGCTATGTGTGAAGCAGAGAGCCGACCCTTCAAGCTCTCCGTTGCAGAGAGCGTACCTCCGCACAACGGAGAAGGGCCTCACAGCCTTTGCATTGGTCTATGCCCCCTTCTGCAGGCTGCTATCAGGCTTTTCATTACGGCATGGTACTGTTTCTAATTTTGTTTGCTGGCAATACCTTCTTCTGATCTGGCACGTCAGGCAACGATATTTGTTATGAGCTTTGTTGTAAAATATTAAAATTAGATGGAGGTTTTCCCTGCTGTTGGAGCCCAGCCAGCGTGTCTTTTAGCCTGCAGCTTGACCAGATTGTTCTTCAAAGTGACAGACACAGTGGGCTGACTATTCCTTGCCTTCCTTTATAAAAAAGTCTTTTAACACTGTAGCTCCTGCCATTCCCCTTCTTTCTCCTCACCCCTCTCTACTCTCCCTGCAAAGGAGAGAGCCTTGAAAATTATTGAACAGACTCAGCTCGTGTGTCCTCTTTGTTCTCCGGCTTCCCTGCTAGCAAAGATACGCACGGGTCATATTCCATACAAATGTCGCTGTTATTCTCTTCCACTAGGGGCTCAAGATCTGGATCGCATTCGTTTGTCCACCTACCGAACAGCATGCAAGCTTAGATTTGTTCAGAAGAAATGCAACTGTAAGTATGTCAGCGCTGCTTTTGTATGCCTTTGTTGCTAGCTTTCTGCTGCACTCCCCGGTCTATCCTTCAGATCGGTCACAAATTGGCACTGTTTGCTTCGGCATTGCAAAGGACGCTAATCAGAGTGCCTGAGCAGATTTTAAATATTAACCTGTTTATATAAGGAACTTACCTCAAACATGCCAGTGATCCAGTCACAGAAGGGTGGGTCATGATGCAAGGCCACAGCTTTATTAATGAGTACGTTAACTACATCCTCCAATTTTCTTGTAAAATAGCATTTGGGGGTTCCAGCAAGATCCTGCAAATTAAATGCTTTTATAGCAACTCCATGGAGAAGAAATGGTGGCTCCTGTCCTCGTCTATTGGGGGTGCAGCAGAGTAAATGCAATGTAAGTCAGCCCCCTTTGTTCCAGAAGGCCAGCTAGAGGCATCTCTTCTAAGAGGGTGAACCTGCTTGTAATCTCAGCATGTCTGCCCTCCTCCATCTAGGCTTCATTCTTGGTCATGTTTCCCACTTGATTGGTGACTTTTTAAACATTTCTTTTGAGATTCAGTCTTCCTTCATTTAGAGCTGCAGTTTCTGTTAGCACCGTCATGAGAAAAGCTGTGAACTTCAAAAGAGAAATACATATAAAATCTGTAATGGATTGCATCCTTTCTTCTCCATCCAAAATACTTAGAACAGTGGGATTTGGTTTATGTGTTTTACCGGACCTTTCCACACTAAGTTAAAAAAAGAAAAATCCCAACCAGGGGAACTCTTGCCGGCAGTAGCAGTAGGGAGAGGACTAATGCAGAGAAAACAAGTTTTTTAGTCTTCATACATAAACTAGAATGACAGCGTGGCTACGCTTGTGTTATGCATACTGGTAAGTATGTTAGGAAATGCTCGCTGCAGATAGCGATTAACCACCCAGGAGAGAGTTCCTGCTTTTGAGGCTACATGTATCTACGTTACAGAAATGTTTAGCTTACGCTGCCCAAACATACTGGAGAGGCCAAGTTGTGGTGGAAGAGGCTTTGGAGAGTATTTATTGGGTCATTAGCTACAGAGCTAGCCTTTCAATCACTTCTGCAGCACGTTTCTCATGTTTTTAGTACGTGAAGTATGAATTGAAGGATTAGTATCACATTATAAGCAGGCTGCCAGACACAAAACCCAGGAGGGGTTTAGTACCTGCCCAGCAGCTGGCTTCTCCCATTCAGAAGGAAATGCGTTGAAAGACACTATTATGTTGTGTTCAGTTGTTTATTTTATGTTTAAGAGGCTAAAATGTTCACTTCGTTTTTTTCATGGTGACTGAATACAGTAGTCTAAGGTGACAGAAGTATCCAATTAAGTTGACAGTGATAGCGAAGTCATAACACTAATTGCTTTGATAACTGTATACAAAGCAAATGAAAAAATTTAACGGTGCGACAGCCTCATTGTTGGGGGTGGCTGGCTGGCTAAAAATTGGTTTTTAATCTTAACTTTTTTCCTCTTATTTATCAGCTGTGATCTGCTTTTGTGGGACTATTGCTTCTCTTCATAGAGAACCAATACACATGCCCTTCAGTTTGCCTTCATGGACAGTGCTTGCCTTCTGGTTGCTGTTGATAACCGAGGAGAAGTGATTTGCTGATCCTGTGTCAAGAGTTATACTGTATCAACCTCTTCTGAAGAAAAAAAAAGGGTGGTACTTAAACAAAAATGTCATCCTTAGAATTAGGTTCTGTGCAGCTTAAGGAATAATGCTTGTTGCTCTGGAATGGGCTGAACTGTGTGTGTCTTTTCACGGTCAAGTCCAGTTTTCCTCTGGTTGTTTCTGGTAGACTGCTGCTCTCCCAGATGATGGCTTTCTCTTATCAGTGGGAAAAGAAGTCATTCATTCACCTGATGTGATTTCAAGCAATGGCTGTCCAAGGCAGAGCTTCTAAACACAGAGCCACTGAACCGAGCACCGCCCCAAAATGGTTAATGTCAGACCTCTGGCTCATGTCAGCTACTCTTTTTTTTTGATTATTATTTTTTTCCCCCCTACAGAAATTTTCATTATGCAGCACCCAATAGTAAGTTCAGGAGGAAAAAAAAAAGGGACATGGGACAAAAAACCTTTCTGCTGCATCTGAGCTGTTTCATTTAGGGGAGAATATAAAAAGCTCAAAGGCAGTTCTGCTCCACTCCCAGTGCATAGTACCTCCTACCACTCAACCCATGCCTGTCTTCTTTCAGCTAAGCTCTCCTGCCCTGCCCTGGCACACTGGCCCAGGCTTACTAGGAAAACCATTGCTTGGAAAGAATGTATTTAAGGGGTTCTTTTAAAGAGCTAATTTAATAAATTGCAGGGAGCTGCTCTTGGCTACAGGCCGAAGGTGTATGAGGATGAAAGCAGAGAGCTGCCTTGAGTGCCAGAAGTGCCTGTTGCAAGAAGAGCAGAGCAGAGGTTTCATTAACACCATCTTTTTTACCCGAAGGTGCCCATTAGCATGGACAGTCATGGGATATCATTTAACAGGCAGCTACGTTTATCAGAAACAACGCACTGTTTGTTTCTGCTGTCCTTAATGCAGACACAGACACAGGTTCATCTCCTGACCTCCCTTTGGGAATTCTTTTCTCAGTACAAAAGGGTGTTTTTGCTGAAACCTTCAGCAGCCGGCTGGGTTTTACTGGTGAAGTAGGCAGTGTGCAATGGGCAAAGGTGCCTTCATATTCTAAGAGCCCTTCTCTCTTGCAGCATTTCTCCTTAAGCTAGTTAAAACTATCTGGCCAAATATTATAGAGGAGGTGACCGTTTACCACCATTTACCAGAATACTACTACCTGTGTTGCACTTTGAGTACTAACACTGTCGGTCAAATGAATTGCTCCATGGAATTATTTAATTTTCAGAAGAGGAAGACTATTTTAAAGATATTTAGCAAACAGTCTTCAAAATTGCAAATATATGACTTTCTGATAATTCTATAAAACTTCAGGAAAACTACTATGCATGTGAAAAGTATTTCTTTTATAAAAATCTCTCGGAGCATTTAAACCAAGAGGCAGTTTAAATAAAACCAGCAAAGTGAGAAAAATCAATATCAGTCATGGCAATTATTTGTCAGACAGGATAGAACTGAATCCAGTCCAGCCTCATTCTTCAGAAAGGCAAGAAATTCTTCTTAAGAACTCAGAAAATGATAAGTAGATAAATTTGAAAAAGCTGTAATGTTATCCTTCAAACAAAAATTCCTCAAATTTAAGCATTCCCCTTTGCCTATGTTAATGCTACAAGTAAATAACAATAACATTTACAAATTATTGTTAGCACACCTATGAATCTGCTAAGTGCCCAAACATGGGATGCGGTATGTGACAAAAATCCCAAACGCAAGAGACCTACAAAGTTCTACATGCAGGAATCCTAAAAGCTGGGAAGCTTTGTTAACGCACCGTGAATATAAACTCATTTGATGCCTCTCTATTTCTGCTGACAATTTCTAAAACTGGTATTAATGAAATGGAAAAGAGAAACTCCGTAGGTAATGTAGGTACTTTTGAGGATGTGCTGGGTTTAGAAAGAGATGATTGCAGGCTGCTTGCTCATTACTTTGCAGAACTCCTGTAGCGACAGACCTGTTGCAATAGCAGTAGTCTTCTCTTAGTCATAAATGCTAACACAAGATGTAGAAACCTTTTCTGTAAAAGAAAAAAAAAAAAAAAAAAAAACAACAAACCAACAAAGAAATACTAAAGAAGTCATGAGATTTGGGCATGAATAATTCCAAACGAATGCCAAGAGTCTTGGACAGACAGACCCGAGAGAAAACACTGCTGGGTGGTTACGTCACCTTCAGATCTCGGAAGGTAAAGCAGGAGTGTGTGAGCTGACTGTGGCTGCTCTGCTGGATCATGGTGTTGGATATAGTCTCGGAAATAGCAGCGCCCTAGTCATTTGAGGTTAAATTTCATTATTTGGGATAATAAAAGCAGATAGGAAGCAGATGCAGAAACATGATCAAACATGCTACATGTTTATCCCAGGCTGCACTGTACAAAATATACAAAATGCACAAAATGCGGGTAGCTGACTTCTTCATCATCTAGATTTTCTAAATGTGCTTTAAAAGTGGCTCGGAATAGTACACACTGCAAGAATCAAGGAGGGAGATGGAAAAGCTACAGGTGAGCACTGTAAGGTCTGCAACAGGCGCAGAGCTTGGAAACCCCATGAACCAGCGTTGCTCTGATAAAGTCAAACATTAGGGTATTACCCTTTACTTCACCTCCAGGGCATCGGAGCGGGTTTTGGAGCACCCAGTATACATTCTCACCATACAGACTCCCGCTCAGCTCCCCTTACTGCCAGGAAAATGCCACCTTGACAAGGTTGATTTACAGCTGTTTATCCATAGCGTTCAGGCACAGACGTGTAATAAGCTTTCCTAAAACAAGGCGTGAAGGACCACTGACAGCAGTTGCACGTATCTCTCAGCATTCACCAGTATTCGGGAAACACCAAAAAGCATAATTTATAGTTATCCCCAGTGGTCGTTGTGCAGTTGGTTTATTCTAATATTTGGGTTTCAGTGAGTTTATTGAAACTCAATTGTTTATACAGAAAAACAAGATGAAATGTCATGTTCGCATGCAAATTCCCTCTAGGCTACGGTGGCAGCAGGAGTAGGACATAACAACGTACCGTAATCAAAACCATTATACAGTTAAACATCACTCACTAATACAGAACTGTACAGCTGGAAAACTACTGCTGTCCTTGATGAACTTTCCTGAATGTGTTGTGAGATTATTCTATGACTCTGACTGCAAAAAGCAGATTTTGCTGATTTCCCTAGATCAGAATAAATCATTGGCAGTTGAAAGCTTGAATCTAAAGCCATGCTGGTGATAGGAATATGGGGCTAATTAAGACAGACAGAAAGGGAGCTTGTTTCTCTGACAGTTTAATCCCAGCACCTTAGGGTTTCAGCGTCTTTGTTCCTCCCTTCAGTATTCTTCTGCATGAGTG